ACACCAAACACAAGAGCTCTCCGTCTGGAGAAGCGTTTGAAGCGAGTTGATTCTCGGGAATGGTTGAGAGATAGTTGTGGTGCTAGTTTCGCCTTTTCCATGATGAAGCCAGTGTGAATGTCGTTCTCCCCGCCGTAGAGCCTGATGTAGCCTACGGCTGCTATTGCCTTCGTTGCAGCGACAGGCTAGGTGGGAATGTATGTGCACTGCACAGGAACACTTTGGAGACAACTCAGGGAGGCACGCCACATCTCCCATTCTTGCTTCTGTTGGTTGTGCTTTTTGACACTGGACCACATGAAGCATAGGTAGTTTCGATGGTCTTCTCTGACAAGGAATGAGTAGAACATCTGCTGGATATCGGCCATGATGGCTATGGCTTCCTTTTTGAAGCGAATGAGCATGCCCAGCAGACCGTTGGTGAGGTCAGGTCCTGTGAGAAGGATTTTGTTCAGAGAGAGGCCTCAGAATTGCGCACTGGCATCGAAGACTACTGAAATCTGGCCTGGCTTGTGTGGGTGGTACGCTCCAAAGGATGGCAGGTACTAGCATTCCTCATCGTTTCTCAGGGGTGGGGCAAGATCTGCGTGTCCGTTCTGGACCATCTTGTCCATGAACTCCACTAAATGAGCTTTCATTGCAGACTTCTTGTTCATGAGTCAGACTGAAGAGGTGAGAGAAAGTTTACTCATGGTTGTTTGGAAGCCGTTGCCTGGGTATGCGAAAGGGTAGTAGAGCCATCCAATTCTTGGTAGCCTCCTGTTGAAGTTCCTTGCCCATGAGCCTCAGAAATTCTTTGTCCTCTATCAACAAGGCCAAGTCATTGTCTTCTTTGCTCCTAAAACTGGTTTGATTGCTGAATTCGTGAAGTGTTCTTGACACGGTCTCGAGTGGGATGCTCTCCCATTACTGAGAGTGGAGGTTACGAAGACATTTGCCTGGGTTGGGACCTGTGGCCAGTCGACACAAACCATCCCAAAGATGCCCCTTCCAAGTTGTGTCTTGAGGGCAAATGGGGAGCCCCTTGGGCCTTTGACTACTTCTTGAGGAGCGAAACCACCATCTTTTTACTGTTCTGCCTCGAGCGTTGTAGGCTTGCTTGGGGCATGCATTTAACTCCATGCTTAGGAATCTCATTCAGATCAAGTTTATTATCAG